TGTTTAACAAGCTGGAATGAGCTCGTTTTTGGTAGTGCAATTCAACTCAAGACGTTTTATGCCAACATTAGGAATTTCACTGATTGGTCTATTTGCACACGTTTGCAAATCTACAATAGCTGCGTTAGGAAGGTGCTTGGTAGTACTGAAATCCTCTCAGAATGGTAAGATTTATGGATCGCCCAGATATGCAAATGCCACTAAATCTCGCTGAAATTCTTATGGGCAGCGGAATGGGTTTCTCCGTTTTTCTTCGTGGGAACACTAAGCCCCCAATAAATATCGGGTCAACTCAATATTCCGAAGGTTCAATGTTCCGATAGTTCTTCCTCCGGGGGAAAGAGGCAGCGTCCGAGCACCAAGGGCGAAAAGCCTGTGGAAGGAAGGGGAGGTCGAGCCGTGGGTTCCGTGACGCGGCAGGACGCTGCTCTCGTAAACAGCCCATTCGGGAGCTTTGTCCAGTAAGCGCCTAAGCCTCATATTCTCCATGGCTGTGCTACAATAAGCTGCGATTAAGACGTATTGTGCTGCAATTTGTTCAGCATTATAATTCTGCAATTTGTTTAATGCCGTTCTATAAATAAAAAGATGGAGTACCTCCTTTGAATAATGTCCCGTGATTTATCTACATCGCCACTGAGGCAGCGACACCGTTTCATCCAACACTGAGCAGGGGGAGCTGCGAGGTATCATTTGCATATCCTTTGTGTAGTCAAGTGATCTTGTTTTGAAAATGTATATCTTTTACATGCCTTTCTCGCCGCGGGGATATTTTAAGATTCGATGAGAACGTAGAAGAGAAATTTCCTTGTAAGACGTACACTGTAATTTCATTGTTTGCGACAGTAGATAGTGGGTAAGTTTTTCAGTTGTACTAGAAATATCCTAGTTTATTAGTCGTAGCACGGTCCTGACGTTCATAGTAATTTTACTTGTATATAGTATCTACTGTAAGGTTGTTTAGCGTCATTTAGAATTTCATGTTCGCCTTCTGGCTTCATTACTTGCTTCAAAATCGATGGACTTTCTTTTTCTAATAGATATTCTGTAGTTGTTCCTCTAAGAGTATGCTAATGATTTGCACTTCGAGGAATAAACAAGTGATAGAAGATTTTTGAAGAATCTGTGGCAACTGAATAATTAGCAGAGGCAGGTCGTCAACACACACCAGTAGAAAAAAAGTGGAATATGATTTGCCTTTTTTCAGTATGCTGGATTTTTTTGTAGTTTATTTTTCGACATGTAATGATGCATTATACATTGTGTCAGTAAAGCTAGATATGTCCTGTGTGGTTATCCAAGGAAAGAGTAATATTCAAGTAGTCTTTGTTGTATCGCTTTTTGTGTAGTTAATCTAGATTCCATTTGTTCTTGGGCGTATTGGGCACTACCGAAAACAAGTCTTCATCCTAACAATAAGAGAAAAAAATGCAAAAAAAAAAAAAAAAAAAAAAAAAAAAAAAAAAACTGGATTACCTCTTCAAAAAATTGTTATGATTCCTTGATCCAGAGAGAATCCTAATAATAAAAAAAAAAGACTCACATATTTTTCCTCATTACTGGTTCCCTTTCCACCGCTTGTCCTTGGTTGCCCCAGACCTTTCGGCCCCGTGTTCCATCCCAGTGAGTATGTTTCAGTGTAGCCGATGCGCCATTGTTCCCCTGTTGGGTGACAAGAAGGGATGTGAGAGCCATTTTTAAAAAGAACGTATTTTTTTTTCTTTTAAATAGCACCCATTATCGTGTAGAGCGGATCATTGATTTCGTCTTGATACACACTTTCTCACATTCCTTTTTTTTTTAAATGTATTTTATTTTTTTTTTTTTAATGGAAGGCAGTGTTGTCTCTTTTACCCCCCCAACCACTGACTTCCTGTAGTGTTCTGACGAGTAGTTTTTCGTTCTACCCAACGCTTGTCTCACTTTTTTCCGTCTGATACACAAAGCTTATATGTTCTTGAAGCCATCATTCACGGCAGACGTACCACCGTAGATATAGATCTTTGTTCAGTCATCACAAAAGCAAGTCTTGTGCATGCTTTCTATGCATTACCTGACTGTGAATGCAAAATTGAAGAGGAGACCAAATTCTTATCTCTTGTACGTGAATGTTTGTTTTGATATATAACTTTGCGAAATGTATGAACCCGAATTTTCCATTTGTTATCAGTAATACTATTAAGAGATGTTATCATCATTATCATCTTTATCATCATTAACATTATATAACTATCATAATTATTCCTATTCATAGCAATGGTAATAAGAATAATCATATCAATAATAATGATAACAATGGCGATAATAATAATAATGATAATATTAACATTAATGATTATTATCATTATTAGCTGTTATTACTATCATTACTCTTGCCATCATCAACATTATTGATATTATTATTGATATTGTTGTTATCATTACCATTATTATTATTATTATTATTATTATTATTATTATTATTATTATTATTATTATTATTATTATTATTGTTATTATTGATATCATAATTATTATCATTGTTATAATCATCATCTCCATCATCATCATTATTGTTATTAATGTTATTATTATTATAATTATTATTGTTGTTGTTGTTCCTATAATTATATCATTATGATTATTATTAATGTTATAATTTATGATTGTTATTATTATTATTATTATTATTATTATTATTATTATCGTTATTATTATTATTATCATTATTATTATTATTATTATTATTATTATTATTATAATTATTATTATTATCATTATCATTACTATTATTATATTCTTGTTTATATTTTGATCAACATTAGCATTATTATTATAATCATCATTATCATTATCATCGTCATCATCAAACTTATGATGAATATCATTATCATTTTCATTATTGTTATTTTTGTTATTATTGTTTATTATTATTATTATTATTATTATTATTATTATTATTATTATTATTATTATTATAAAATTAACAATCGTGATCATAATCATAATGGTAATAATGATAATTATGATGACAGTGATAACAATGATAGTAATAAT